CAAATGAGCAAATATTTGGATCGGTAACCCATAAACAGAAAGGACCCACAGGCACACAAAATGACAGAAATTCAAGAAGTATATTTCACAAGGAAAGAAGGTGAACGATAGAGACTGAAAACAAATGCAAGCTCCACTCAAGAAAATACTGAAGTCAAGTGCATAAAATGAAACAGGAAAATAACGGTAGATGAACAACCTCCATGTACAACTTTCTGACATGTGGACCTGCATCTTCATCCAGTCCCTAGAATCATCAAAGAGTTAGTGGACCACACAACATGGGAAAAAAGAGGAAGCTTTTGAAAACCAGCCGAAGGAAATCGTTAGAAGTTATCCGTACATCAACAAAAAGGTCATAGAGATCACAAACTTTGTCCTCCAACGCAGCATCCATGCTGAATTTCCGTTTCACAACTCCTTTGTTTTCTGAATTAAGATCTTGAAAATCATCAGATGCTCCAGCTTGTTGCTCCATAGCCTGATAATAAAATTGGTGAAACTTAACTCAAATTTACCCATAGAGCTACAAGTAAAATCTTATCATCCATTGGCCAACGGTGCAGGTAATTTTATCATGCAGGTGATGAGAATGGAAACAGCACCATGGCTAGCAAGATATTCCTCATCTAACCCACCATGCAAAACTTAAGAGGGGAAAGAAAAAAGACGAACAAAAAAGGAAGGTGAAGAAAGTAGCACAAGGAGTTTCTACTTCAGTTCTTTGAATAAATTCTCAATTCTTACCGGAACATTCTGTGAAGAAACCAAGAAATGATGAAAGCAAATGTATGGCTGGTGAGAAAGGGGGAGTCTGGAGTTCATACCTTGGACTCCAATGCTGGGACACGAGTCTTGATCATCTCAGCAACTTCCTTTTTTATCACTTGAAACTTATCATCTTTCTCTTGCTTTGCTGACAACCCTGAGTTTACCATGATTTTTAAGTTTCTCTGCATGAAACACCAGGTTGTGTTATTAATGGTTTCTCCAAGGAGAAGAAAAAACAGCATATGTACATAAGCTATGAAGTAGAATGCGGCCAAAATTGGGAAAGATAATACCAGGTTTCATAGTCAACGCAACATTGACTAATCTAGATTAAATTCTATATGTTAAGAATTGTGACCTATTACTGTCTACAATTGACAGTTAGTGACCAATACGACTTAAATGAGCCACAGTACGCTCAACCATCATAGGCTCAACACCCCCACCCCCAAATGTCATTGTTGTGGGCATACAGGAAGTAGGCTTGAGAGGTACACAAAAGAACCAGAACTGGAGCTGTTGATAAGAATTCCAACAGATACCTTCAGAGTCCGGAGCTGTATTAAGTGACCCAGGATACTCATGAGGCGATTTATTAAATCCTTTGACATTTTCCCTTGGCTTGCCTGAAGTAACCATGAAAAGTAAGAAGTATAACATCAGCTTCAATACTTGTTTAAACATTAAACTATTGAAGACACTTAAACATTGTTCTTCTTTAACCTTACATATAAACTTTGAAATTGCAAGATAACTTTACCAGAAGACCTGATTATCAATAGAAAAAGCAATAACTAGTTCAAGGTGATACCGCGAGTCGGGCAACTTTGGCTAGCTTCAGCTTTATTTCTCTAGGCAATCTTCTTTTAATTGCTTGGGACGAAGCATCACCATCTTGATTGTCAATTGCAGGTGGCCTTGCTGCAATAGTCATAAAACGTAGAACACCTTAGCCTCAACCAGTAGAAGGTCCAGATTTACATAGTGGAAAGCAACTTCTCAGCTTACATTCTGCAACCATTCTTTCCAGCTCCCTGATGGCCTTTTCTAGAATTGAGCCTTTAGACCGGACGGTGGAACCATCTCTTTTGTGGACAGTTGATGTCTGCTATCATGAGCAACACAAGTTGAAAAAGGACCAGACAAAAAATTATAACCATAACTTTCAACGGGAATCCCAGAGTAATCGAGCACAAGGTACCACACATATATCACCATTTGTAATGAAAACAAAAGAAAAAGCTACTGCCAGTAGGACTAAGTCATTTAATGCAGATGGGATATGCAAATTATTTAAACAACAGAGCACCAGATTGTAAAATCCGTACACTTACTGTTGCATGCACATGCATTTTTCCATCAGGAGCACTATTAAGGTCAGGCAGTATTCTGACGCCATTTCTTTCTTTTGATCGAACGGATGATTCAGGTTCTTCAACATTATTAAAAGGCTTTACAGATTGCAACTTATTTTGTCCATAAGCATTTTTATCCGGAATCTGATGTTTGAGGTGTGAAGCAACAAAAGATCCACTAGCATCTTTTGACTTATTTGCAAGGTTCTTTGCTTGGAGACCTCCAGGCTTCTGCATCTGAACATCCTTCCCTTCTAACATTGATGCTGAAGTCTCACCATTTGACGTCTTTGTGGTTGAAGTTGAAGATGGATCCAAGCATAGTTTAGACTCATCATATTTCTTCTTGGAAGAAGTTCCAGATAGATCATGAGGCTTCACATCTTCTTTGTATCCCCCTGATCTAACCAAATCCAGAGAGGGGCTAGAGGAGTTCTTTCCAAGTGATTGCACCGTCTTTCCAACTGCTGATTTTCCAATCTTAGCATGTTTATTAGGTACATTAACATCAGCACTGTCAGAAGGAGCCTTATTTAAATCTTTTCTCCTCCTTTTCCTTGGTTGCTGGTTAGGAACAGCAGCAGGCTCACTTCTGAAACATGAGAAAGTAAAAATAATTACTACAGCAATGAGGTCACAACAAAAACATTGAGACTGATGAATCTCGCTTCTCTTACAATCAACACATGAATCACAATCATCTAATGTGATGTAATAACTGCTCTTGGGATTACTGATGAATCAGGGATGCCAGCTCTATTAGGTGAACTGATAGATCCAATAAATTAAACCATCAATGAGGCACTACAGAACACTGATAAGATTTTCTTGTTGAAATGGGAGAGAAGAAAGTGATGAAGGGTAATGGGCAAGAAGCACAGAAGTTTCAGGGTGATTTTAGCACATCAACTCCAGTTAAATTTTACAATCACTCTACAAACTTGAAAATCTTAACCACTCATCATTAGAACAACATTGAATATCTCACATTTGCTTCTGCGCCCTTTTGATGCACAAAAAACTCAAGATGCTAGCCACATACAGCCTAACTTAGCTTGAATAGCATGTGAAGGAATCATTAAGTTCAAGCAAGTACCTAAGAGATTTGTCACAAGATAAACCCCAGCCCTACAGTAAGCATGTATAGGGGATAGTACAACAGCCCTAAGGGGATACATGGCGAGCAACAGATTCTTGAGAAATGACAAAGACAAAAACAAAAACAGCAGGTTTGAGATAAACCTACATGCGCTCAAGTTTTCCCCTGTTGACAAAGAATCCATCGTGCTTTATTGCAGAATTATCAACTTCAAAATATTCATCCTGCAGAGGAAAGTAATTGTTATTGGCAACATAAAGCAACTCTGTAAATATCATTGAAGAAATTTAACAGAACAGATACCAACCAGTTCAGCATCATCAATAAAAGAGTCTTCTGTATCATACTGATCATCATCGGGGGCATCTTTCAAATCCTCATCATCACTGCTATCCTTCCCCTGAAACAGATCACATCAACTATGGATCACCATTTATAATTTTAATTGCATTGTTATGTAAAACCTGGGACAACATATTACCATGTAAAGGCGTTCAATCTTCTCAATAACAGCACTGAAACGATGAGGATGAGGATCATCATTTTCTTCATTATCTGCCCGTTGTCCCTGACAAAGGAAAAGCACCACTAAGAATTCAGTAATATGTTAATCATGATGTACTAAGAAACTAATCAATAAGATGGATTTCTAACAACTTTTCTGTTCACATCAGATATTCCCACCGTATAAAACAAACCCAGAACAGTGGAGGAGGTCAATTATCCTCCTAGAAATAAAACTTCACCGCGTATGGCCATTCACTATACACGCACAACAATGATAATATAAGAAACTTGCTCAGGAAAGCAAGATTAATGAGTTCTTTGACCATTCATGGTTCTACCTAGCCCAACATTGCTGAAGCTAATGAACCAAGCTAATAGGTATGATCACAGCTACTCAGGCACCACAGCACCCGAATTATCCACACATTAGAGACAAGTAACAGATATACAAACGTCCATGGTGAGCAAAACACCAAAAACCGTATAATGCTCTCTTTCAATGATGAGGCACTCACCGGCGCAATACGAGACTCCAGGTTCGGGTGGACGTTGGCCGGAGGAGGCGGGTCCGGAACTGGCGCAGATCCACTGCAATTCTTGTTGGCATCTTTCATCAGCTTCTTCCACGAGACGAATGTCGTCTCTCCCTGCCGGAGCTCCACCGTGAAAATCTGCCTGTCCCCCAATTTCACGTACGAAGGAGTGGTCCTGGAAGAAGACGATTCCTCTCCTCCTCCGCCGGCGCCGCTGCTCCTTTCCTCCATCTCGGAGCACTAAGATTTGGAGGCTCCCGAACTCTAGGGTACAGAATTGAAGCAATTGGAAGAATCTAAAATTGGCGAACCATAGAGGAGAGAGAGGGAAGGCGGCGAGAGCTGAGACAGTAAAGAACAAACCCTAGAGACAAGAGTCCAGCTGAAGAGAAGAGAAGGAAGGAGAAGACAGTGTCAGTGGGTAGAAAGAAAGGGAAAGAAATTCTTTCCCGAGAGACGGAAGCAAGAAAGAAGAAGAAAGCTGAAGCGCTGGGCAGGCGGGCGGGACTCGGAAACGGTTCTTCCGGAGGGTTTAACTGGAAATAAACGAGAAAATATTTTCTGTTTTAATTTTCTCGCATTTTCCTTCGCGAGAATTTTTTTTGAGCGAGGGAAAAGGAGAAAAAGGGCGGGTTTACCAATCTGGAGCGGATCTTCCCCTTCTTTTTGACCCGACCCGAGAAGTCTTGGGCTTTTTATTGGGCTCAGCCGAAACGGGATGCTATTTATCCGCGGCCCATTTCCAATATCTTGTTCATCTTCCCAGTTTCCATTCCACTTACTGCGCTATCTCTTCTCTCAATAACCATCCTAGCCGCCGACGAGCAACGGCGGTGGAGAGCTCTTCAACGAAAGCTGCTTGAGCGGAAATGGAAGTAGTGCGCTAGAACAATTACAAAGAGCTCAGTCGCAGACTTCCGCTTCCTCTCCCCTTCGTTTTCAATTTCACCAAACAAAACATTCTCTCATGGCTGCCGCAGCCGTCACCACTTTCAACCTCTTCACTCCACCACCACCAAGACCCTCCCTAGCCAGGTACGCGGCCCGAAAGTCCAGCATCGCAGTTTCTCCTTCCTCCCAATTCGAGCACCACCGCTGGAACTTCCATTTGCCTTCTAGAAACCGGAGAGCGTTCGTGCCCAAGGCGGACGACGGCGACGCCGATGGAGGCGGTGCCGACGATTACGACATGGACGACGAAGAGGTGGAGGAAGTGGACAACAAGAAGGATTATGATGTGGAGTATGATCCTTTGGCTGGCGATGGAGACGACATTGCGATGGTTGCCAGCAAGAATTTCGTGTCTACTCAGGGGTGGCATTCGGAGAAGATCGTTGATTACAGAATTGATGAAGAGGAGTTCCACAAGATAAGCTTGTATGACTGTGATTTCTTTATCAGGAAGCCGCCGGACCCTGATGATGATGTGTTTGATTTCAGGGAGGTTAGTTCTTACTAGGCCTTCCCTCATTTGTATGATTGGTTAGTTTCTTAATTGATTTTTCATATCTTGGGCTACACTGGTGGTTTGTTCTTGCAGATGTATGTTACTCCGCCGGATACTGATGTTTATGCTATCCCCAGAGTTCTTTGTCCAATGCCGCAGAAGGTAAAGTTAACTGGCCAGAAATGTTACTGTTTGTGATGTGTAGGTTGGTTAGGAGAAATGGTTTCTTTTTGTTACTGCTGAAATGCTTGATACTGTCTGCTGCCAGCTCTTTCATATTGTAGTCTGATCTCTTGGTGTGACTCATTTATGAGTTCCTGATATGGATTGTTGAGCCATCAAGCTCGTCGTTAAGCTTGCGTTGATGCGAGCTTTGTGTACAAATAAATTACATGTTATTAACAATTGATGTAGGGTACTGTGAGATAATGAGTTTGGGTTTGATGAACTGATCTGATTTTCTGTTTCACTAATGGTGTCTGAATTTGAGGTTGATGAACTAATGTTGTTCCTATTTCGCACTGATGATGATGTCATGTCTTCTGGTTAAAACTTACAGTATATTCGATGTGCAAAGAGTAACTATGGATGTTACAACGTGACTGAACCACCCATTGATGCACCCCGAGATCCATTGTATAAATCCGATAGGGAGGTATGGAAGGTAAGTTCTGATTTCCATGGATATGCTTCTTGCATTTTGCACACAATGTGTTTCTTGCCCCATGCTACTGATTCGAGTTTCTTGCTTTCTTCATTAAAGGTTTTCTTGACAAAGCACTACAGGAACCGAAGGCAGGGAGATCCCGAGTTTATTTTGGACTTCGAGGAAGTTTACGTTATAGATTCCAAAACAAAATCCATAACCAGAGCAAAAGTAGTGGTGAGTTATTTTAGTTTAGTCTGGTTGTCTTAACTCTATTTCTATGCTTCCCCATATTGACACTTCTATAGTTTGCCTAATTGATTTCTTACAAGTGGGAAAATTATATGGGCACTTTCTGGATCAGCACTACGAAGGAAATACGATGTTGACAATTATTTTTAACTTCTGGTTGAAGCCTACTCCCCTCGGATATGAAGTGAAACAAATCGATCCCTGTTTCTTTTAGTTTTAGAAATGTAGGTCTGAATAATTTCACTTAAGAGAGCACCTTTACTAGGCAATCACATCTTATGTCATATGCAACGTTAATTTTTAAATACACGAGTTAGGTGGTCCGATAGTCGTTTGCGCATTTTGATTTAGTGTTCTTCCTTGAGTAGTTCTACACTTGTTGTAGCCTTCCGATATCTCAAGAAAGGAGAGGCGACTTATTGCTTTATCTTAATACCTTGCATATCATGATGGAATGAAAACCTGTTGCCTAAGTTCAAGCAGAAAGTTTAATTGCATTCTAATTACTGGGAAGTTGGAATTTTCTCTTTTTGAGTGTGAGCTTTTATTTATGAATTTTAGTGTGAGTTTTACTTCACTGTTCTGATAAAACGTTGCATCTCTCGATTTGTTTTGTTTTAATGGCTTGAGCATTAATAATATAGATGGAAGATTCCTTGCTTCTATCCTTCAATGCTACTGTAAATCTAAACAACCGTAATCTATATCTGCTTCTGCTTTGAACCCTTGTGTGTTCATGTAATCTGTTGCTGTAATCATGTATGTGTTGCTATAGGTGACTGTTCCGGGCGGGAGAAGCAGGGATAGAAAGAATGATTTGCTTGTTATACGAGATAATGGGAATTCCTTCAAAATAATTGACTCGGTAACACTACTCCCATGTCCAACCATCTCCGGTTGAATTTGTTTCCTTCATTGTTTGATCAATGGTAATGCGTTTCATGGATTGCAGGCTCAAAGAGACGATCCTACCACTATAATCGAGAGGGAGGAATGGAGTAAGACTAGACAAGATATGGAGAGACACCTCAGCAAGCTACGCGACTTCAGCGTGTCAAACTGGTTCTAAGGGATACAAATTATAAGCTGGTTATAATATGGGATTAATGGGACCCCTCGTCATTAGACAAATATAATGTCCAGCGCTTGCAGCGTCGAAGAGATTACTTTAGTGATGGAGAAGCCCAGAATGGTTTCAAGACTTGGGAGGGCAGAGGGCTTGAGAATGTTGGGAGGCATTCCTTCGACGGTTGGCAAATTAGAAGGATAATCGCCTGCCCTGGACCTGGAGATGATACAAAGTCATGGATTTTGAAGAACCTCATTTGCGGTTCACGGAAATGACCTTAGAAAGTTGTATTAGTGAAAGCTGTTTGGTGGGATAGTGTCTTCAATGCTACCTTCCTGGTCAAATCAAAGATTTTTTATTATTTGATAACCCAGGGAACCTCAGCCCCGAGAGCTTTAAGATTTTTTATTATTTGATAACCAAGGGAACCTCAGCCCCGAGAGCTTTCTGTTACCAACATCGGGTCGCCTCCGATACCAAGGGTACCGCTGGGAACGCTCAAGTGGCGTCACTGGGAATCGAACTCAGGACCTCCCACATTGAGAGCTCAATTGGTCCAGTTTCACCACTAGGCTATGTTACCTTTGGCGTCAAATCAAAGATTTGTGGCTTCTTGTTACGGTACTTAACTATAAAAATCCTTTTTTTAGTTAAATATATGAATAGAAAGATAGATCTATCTTATCCGATTTCTATTTTGATATCTAAAAAAGAATTGATTTCATTCAATGTTTGATTCAAAGAACTGCGCTTAGCCACCCCCCCCCCCCCCCCGGCTCATGAAACGGCTCTGCTGCAATGGATGGCAGAGGGTCCGTAGTACCCGTAGCACTGGAGTGATCCAGTAGCCGGGAAGGGCCCTAGATCTCGAAATTTGAAACCTCATTTTTTAAAGTTTTTCTTTACTTAAAAATGTACTTGTAATTATCTTAATATAATTTGTTTATGTTAATTTTTTATAGTTCGTCATCATTTTTAAAGACAAAATTTTCGACTTTTTAAATTCCGAGACCAAATTTTTTTGAAAACAATTAATTGACCTAATTTGGGTTTACACAGAATACTTGAAAATGATAAAGCTGAAGGAATTTACATAATAGTTCAAATGATACAACTCAGAGGTTACACACAACACTTGATAATGATAAAGTTTAAAGATTACACACAACACTTGAAAATGATAAAGTTTAAAGATTACACACAACACTTGAAATGATAAAGATGAAACACATAAGATGTCAATAATCGCCCATAAGAGAATAGTAATTCCCGTAATCTCCTCCTCCACTTCCATTTTCTCCTCTAATCTTACTTGCGTTGGATGAATAGTGGTAATAGAGTTGGGATCATCATAATTATACCCTAGAAGCATGTTTTGCTTATTTCTCCAATATTTGCTCTTTCTTAGTGTCAACTTCGAGAAATCCCTTTCAAGAAGATCAATGTTTTTCTGAAATAGTGCCACTTCTTCCCTCTCTCTTTTCTCAAGTTCCCACTTTTTTCTCTCTCCCTTTTCTCAAGATCTCACTTTTCTTCATCGCACTTCGATTTTTTTATTGGAATTCCATCCTTTTTCGCTCATACTCAGCCTTCAAAGCATGTCTCTCCTTCAACTCACTTCCATAGTCCAGCAATTCAGTAGTGTAGCTCTCTGATGACTCAACAACCCCTTTTCTCCTTTCTTCTTAGCCGCCTTCTGTTTGTCGCTTCCAACAGGGTGAGATCTGGCGAAGGATGGAGTTTCTTTGTCTCCTGCTATGTCATTGAGGTCTGTCAGTAGGGTTGATTGATATCCATGATCCATGGGAGAACCATCGAAACCTTGACTCATGAGGCTTTGTTGTGAAGCTTGACTCATCAGAACCTTTTCTCCTTTCTTCTTAGCCGCCTTCTGTTTGTCGCTTCCAGCAGGGTGAGATCTGGCGAAGGATGGAGTTTCTTTGTCTCCTGCTATGTCATTGAGGTCTATCAGTAGGGTTGATTGATAGCCATGATCCATGGGAGAACCATCGGAACCTTGACTCATGCGGCTTTGTTGTGAAGCTTGACTCATGGGAGGAATGGAAGATGGCATTGTTATTAGGGTATGAAATTTTTTCAAGATCCGCCAACAATGACTAAGAGTCCAACCCTGGGCGCAAGTCTCACTTTTATACAGTTGTTCTGCCATATACTCTTATATGTATTAATGAATGACTTGGAAAAGGAGTAAGAAAATAGAACACATATACTAATGAATGAGTTAGAAAATAATAGTGATGGTGACAGAGAATTCATACCATGTCTTGTTGATTCTTGCCACTTGGTGGATTCCTCTCTGCCCTTTAGATAGCTGAATTCCAACACTTGCACAATTTGGTGGTGGTGCTCATTCAATTACCCATGCTTTTGATAGTACGAGTTGTGTTTGGATTGTTCACTCAAAATTGTGTCGCCACTCTATTCCAAAACTTTGATTGTTTTTTATTAACGCCCACAGCTCCATCTTCTGATATCATGACCCAATAATTGCACAAGTTCTTATCTTCCTCCGCTTTCCAATCCTCTGCTCTCTTGCGTGTCATTGTTTGGTTTTTAGAGAAAGAGAGATGATAGAAAGGATGTTGAGATTGACATAAAATTTCACTTTAGTATGAATGAATTGTAGAGAGAGAGAGAGAGAGGATGTCTCAATATATAGAAAATTTTATGACTGTTAGGTATGACCGATAGATATGACAGTTTGGATATGACCGTTAGGTTTGACCATTAGGTATGAACATTAGATGTTATCATTCAGATATGACCGTTAGGTTTGCCTATTAGATATGACCGTTCGGATATGGCTGTTAGGTAGGACTGCTAGGTAAGGCTGTTAGATAGCACATGTTAGGTATGACTAGTAGGTACACATGTTAGGTAATACACGTTTGGATATGTTCGTCTATAAATACAAATCCTCATTTGTCATCAATTCAATACTTGTCTGAAACTTCCTCCCATTTCTAAAACAAGCACATCCATCAACTTCTCCACATTTCTAAAATAAACACATCTATCATGAGTTCCTCAGATTTCTCATCGTCTGAAGGAGAAGAAGAGATGGAAGAGTTGAATCTGTTTTACTATCACCGTTTGGCTTTAAGCGGGCGGAGGCTTGAGGAAGCTTCATCCTCGCGTCGTTGTTCAACAAGTCACACTTACATTGATCGTGACCGTCTTATGCAGGATTACTTCAATCCAAATCCAACATACGATGCTCGCATCTTCATAAGGCGTTTTCGGATGCAACCACAACTATTCAATCGCATAATGGGTGATGTTGTGAGGTATGATCCCTCTTTTGCATGAAGGAGTGATGTCGTTGGTCACTTAGGCCTATCATCGAAGCAAAAGCTTACTAGTGCACTGCACATGCTAGCTTATGCTCTCCACCTGATCAACTTGATGACTACGTGTTTATGGGTCAGAGCACTGTACTGGAAGTATTCCGGAAGTTTTGTAGAGCCATTGTGGGGATGTACTTGTTGACATACCTTCGTGCACCATCTCCTGCCGATTTAAAGATCGATCCTACTTCGTAAAGCCTCACAATGCGGATTCCCTTATATAATTGGATCAATTGATTGCATGCACTATGAGTGGAGGAACTGTCCTACTTCTTGGACTGGGCAGTACTTGGGGCACAATCATTAACCGAATATCATGAGGCAGTGGCTTCATACAACACCTGGATATGGCATGCTTTCTTCATCCCGCCTAGGTCGAACAACGACATCAATGTTCTGGGGATGTCTCCGGTGTTTGACTGTATCCTCAACGGATCCGCTCCATGAGTACGGTTTGAGGTAAACGATCATGCCTATGATCAATGTTATGATTTGGCTGATGGTATTTATCCTTCGTGGTCAACTTTAGTGAAGACATTTAACAATCCAAACTCAAACAAAGAAGCCTTGTTTGCTCGATGTCAAGAAGCACATCGAAAAGACGTAGAGCGGGCCTTTGGAATTCTTCAAGCTAGATGGGCAATCGTTCGTGGCCCTGCGAGATCTTGGGGTGTTGCCACAATTAAAGATATAATATTGATATGTATTATATTCCACAACATGATAATTGAGGATGAGATGGAAGATAGTCTTGATTATGAGGTCCATGACCAACAACCAACTCATGTCAATAAAGATATTTCAACCATAACTGAGTACTTGGCTAGGAATAATAGGCTCCGTGTTGCACCAACACATCATGAGTTTCGTCAGGACTTGGTCGAGCATATTTGGAACTTTCATGGAAATAATTAGTAATTCTTGTTGTTTGGTATCGATGTTGTGATGCTTTGTAATTCAATTAAAGTTGTAGTTGTTGACTCGCACGAAACTACACCACAAAATTAATCCCGACTAGAGCCCAAGTTTTTAAACTCTAGCCGGGTGTAGTATAGAGCAAGTATTTAAATTATCAACCCGGGCCAATCCATGTACCCCTACTTCAATCACTTAAGTTGTTATCTAGCAAAACGGTTTTGGGTTTTAAAACTAAGAAAACTACAAACTAAACAAGCAAAGAAAAGTAAATAAAGGAAAGTTCTAACTAAGGGAGCTTCACATAGGAGTTTCTTCCCCTTAACTAGCTACCAAGACTCGTTGGATTGGAACGATTGCTATGTGGAAGGTAACCGCGAACCGCAGAGGGATGCATATATGGTCGTTGACCACAATCACAATTTCTAAACCGAGGTAAACATTATAGGCCGTGTCACTCGGCCCTCCCAATTTAGGCAATCGGTGGTTGACTTACTCCCTCACTCAACTCAAGGGTTGGACGACTTAATCGCGCTTAACCAATTTGCTTAATTCAACATTGAGGTTTGCCCTAAATTAACCTAGTTAGGTGGCTTAAAAAGCTAAAGGAAAACCAACTCGATTGAGTCTCCCTTAAAACGGGGTATTTTCCTACTCAACATGCACAAATCTAAGGATGCTAAACACAATTATGCACAATCCTTATGTTGCTAAGCACCAACATGCACAAACCTAAGGATGCTAAACACAAAACATGCACAGCCCTTAGATTGCTAAGCACGAGCATGCAATAATACCTCAATCGTTAAATTAAACAATATCCAATGACAATCATTTAATCTAAACAAGTAATTACAAAGTATTAGTTAGAACTCTACAACACCCAAGAGAAAAGAGTGAGTTTCTAGAGAGAGAGAGAGAGAGAGAGAGAGAGAGAGGGATTACAAATTTGAGCTCAAGATCTTCTTCTTCTTCTAGGCTTGAATCTCCACCCAAGCCTCCAATGATGCTCCAAGATCACTCTAGCACTCTCTCTCTCTCTCTCTCTCTCTCTCTCTCTCTCTCTCTCTCTCTCTCTCTCTCTCACTAGGACTCCCCTTTGGTGTTTTTGGGCAAACCCTAGAGAGAGAAACCAATTCTTCTCCAAAAAAAAAACAGCTCCCCCTTCTATATCCCCGCTGTTGTCTTCGTATTTGCCCGAAAGCGACCAGTTCACGGACGCGTTGGCCAGTTCACGGCCATGAACACCTAAACGAGTCAGTGAACTCAGTGTCGTCCAGAACGCATTGATTCACTCGCCTGGGTTCACGGTCAATGGCCCCAGTTCACGATCTTAGAGACCGTGAATTGCATTGTCGTCAGTAACTTCTGGAACCTCGCTGGACTGCTCGATGTTCACGGTTT